TGGAAAGTGTGCCGAGGATGCTTGCATCGAGCAGCATTTGATCGTCCATTTGTTGTGCAGCCGTGCAGTACCTGCCTGCTGGGCGGGACAAAACTGAGTGCCAGCATGATCCCCTCAGACGGCCAGCATAGGTCCGACGTCGGCCAGGTGGGTCAGACCGGAATTGTTTGCAGCGCCGTCAAGATGCTCTGTGGAAGAAGCGGCCTTGTTAGGTGTGGCAGCATCCCAGTCCATGTTGGAAGACGTCGAGCTGGCTGGAGAGATGAGTTGGTCAAAGTCTTCATCCCTCTCGCCCTCTGCGTCATCATCGCTCCATTTAGTGATGATGTTGCCAAAGCCATTTTCTTGCATGTGGCGCGAGCGAAGGTCCAAGCTGGATGTGCTGCTAGACAGGCTGTAAGACGGGCTGCTGGCCCCGCTGCTGCTGCTGTTGCTGCACGTTTCGTTGATGTCGCTTGAGGCCATACTCTCTATGCTGCTGTTGGGCGCATTAAATTGCCAAATTTCGCTAGTAGCCTCGACGTTGAGCGAGTTGTCAGCGCCGCGTGTAGGTGGACGCGAAAGCGAGTAGTCGTCGGGATCCATAGCGCTACCATCAAAGTCGGCAAAGCGAGCACTGCTCGAGTGGTCCAACTGCGCTGAATCATGTGCGGTAAAGTCTAGCGGAGCTGCAAACCCTTTCCATGCCTCCGAAGCGAGATGGGAGCGGGAACGCAGCTCGATTACACCGCTCCAGATCGAGCAAATACCAGCTGGAGGATGGATGCAACCGCCACCAAGATGAGCAGGATGTCCGAATTCTCTGCGCAACACAGATGCATGCTCACCTAGACACTTCGACCAACGACGTACGGTCTCGCACTTCTGCTCAATGAATGCATCTGGAAAGCGTGGAGTGGTGCTGCTGGACGTACGGGCGTGACTCGATGGGTGAGGCCCACCGTCCACTCCGTGCAGACTTGCGTACACCTCGACAGCCAGCGTGGTGGCGAGATCTTGCAAACCAGCGCAGACCGATTCGATGGGCGGATCCGAGATATGCGCGTCGAGAAGACGGAGAAGGTGCTGCAATGCCAGAGTGTGGACAGGCTTGATCAGTACCCGATGCGCCATCTATCCGAATACCTGGACCTACCTCGTAAAGCAAAGTCTCGGCGGACGAAACTAGCCCGCACAGCGTTTCGTTGCCCCAGATAGCCCAGATGGTGTCGCGGGATGCACCACGGTACTGCTGGACAGCAAGTTGCTTGAACTGTGGCAGCAAAGAGATGGTCACATCTTTAGCCCACCGCAAAACTTGACTACTTCAGAAAACTTAGAACTCACCATGGCAAAGTCCAGTGATTCAAAAGCCTCGAGCTGCTGCTGGTAGGTTCCCTCCAGCTGGGCCCAGGTGGTGCGAGCGAGATCGTCGAGACCGATACTGACAGTGTTGGCAGCTCTTGGCCAGTCCGAGATGGCACGAACGCCGCGTCCCTTAATCTTGAGATTGTCCAACATCTGCTCCACTTCAAGAACGCTGATGCTATTTTGACGGCTATGCGAACTGTCGCTGCTAAAGCTTGCACAGCGACTGAGGCGTGCGCATACATCATCAGCTCAACCAAATTTCGCGTGAATAGTGTGAGCCTTGCGCACTCACTCGAAGGTGCCGTCGAGAGACGACTCTTCATCGCAGTCTGAATCTTGCGCATGAATACCTGCCTCGCTTAGGGCATACTTGTTCGTCGGGGCCGATGCACGGCGCTCAGCGTCCATCGCATCATACACAACACCGAGCATGTGCTCCTCGTGCGGCGTCAGAGCTTTCAGACCGAGATCTGAGAGGAAGGCGCAGGTTGGTCTGAGCATTAGCACAGCACGAAACTTATGTGTGTCGACGGTAGCGAGTGAACTGACAATGCCACACGCTGCAGGCGCGCGATCCTAGACGACGATGTTGCAGTCCTGGAAACGTCGACTTGAGGATTTTGCCAACTACGGAAACGCTGAGAGGCGCAACGATGCCATATTGGGCGCACGCGAGCTGGTACGACCGAGCAATAGCGCTACGCCGGATCGGCGCGGTGGGTGCGGCGGCGCTCGCAACATAGGAGGACTCGAGCCTGATTTGGATTCAAAAGGTCGGTGGTGAGCAGGACGTCCTACCACTCTCATCAGCTTACACATTCCGATACTCACCATGCTCGAGCAAATTTGTGAGATGCCGTCTCAAATTGGGCGCGGCGATGGGGCTGCGAGTGGGCCTCGATAACCTCGCAGGCGAGCTGCATCAGAGTCGCGTCGGGCTTCCAGTGAGATATGCCCGAAAGTGGGGCATTCGTGGTCGCATCAGACTGCACCGTGTTGGATGCGGACGTAGGCTGGACATGGGTCGTGTATGCCATGTCAAAAGCGCCAGAGAGGCTGTTCGACCTGGTGACAGTGTCCGAAGGAGCCAGCCTTCGGGGCAACAAGCTGCCATCGTAAAGCGCGCAAGGCTCAGCACTGAAATTCTCGCCAAGCACAGGAGCGGCTGACGCAGTGTAGGCAGCAGGAATGGACACGGCGCGCGGCGTTCTAGCTTCGTCGTAGTAGCCTGGTGCGCTGTGAGA